TAATTAACTGCAATTGCATGGCACAATGCATGAACACGATGAAAATATTTGCTACATTGCGATCACACAACTCAAGCCTTGTGATCGTGATATATGATCGATTTTATCCTTTCAACTTGGTCCTAGGATTTCTTTTTTGGTTCAGCTTGAGTTCCTTTCTATTTGCAACATGTATACTTCATCTTTCAATTCTTTACAATTTAATCATCATGTTCCACACTTATTTGTAATTGATCCGTTTTAATTTCCAAAAGTTTATAAGTCAGTCCCCCAAACTTTTCAATCATTGAATTTAACTTTCGAAACTTGTGAATCTCCTTGGATTTCTCTTTTAGTAATTATTATCAATCACTTGCAATTTGGATAACTTTCAATTGCTCTGAATCAACTCTAGTTCATGCAAATTGCATCGAAGTTCTTTTTTTACAATTAACATAATTACACTAAATTTGATAAACACATGCTCAATTAGCAATAACTTATCAAATTCGAAAAATAGTAATAATAGTGTAAAATATACTTATAAGGTAGTAAGGCTTGTGCCTGATGTCAAAAGAAATCACTAGTCACTTAGTATATATACTAGATAATGAGGGCGTTCACTATAAAGGTCGAGGTGGAGTCTTAAAAAGTTATGAAGGGAACCAAGATTAATGGCTTGTACATATTACAAGGCCAAACAATTTGTAAAAATAGGTTAAACTTCCCTATAAATGAACGAAAAATAGAATTGTGGTATAGGAGGATGGTACGCGTCAGTGGCGGATTCGAAAATTCTTCATTCTTGGATCAAAAATTAAGTTATGAATAATTTTTTTCAAACACCTTTATCTTGAACACTCATTTCACCAATATTTTTCTCTTCATTCGTAAATAGAGATTTTCATTTCAAATATTTTTTCATGGTTGTTTGATACGAAACTAAAAAAATAAACTGCTGATTTATTCCAAATATTAATTGCAAGCATAAAATAAAATCAATTTCAATAGACAAATTATAAACTCCCAATGTTCCATTTAGACCACAATAGATAATAACCAATTTCATGAAAAAAATAAATTCAACAATAAATTCCAATATTCCTTAAATCAAAATCACCAAGTTAATTAGGACAAATCATTGCTTAAATTTGAAGGAGATCGAAGTCAAAATTTGAGATCGACACAAAATATCTTCAACAAAAATATAATTATAGCGTAGGAAATATATTTAGGGTGCGTTTGATGGATATTATTTTGGAAGAATGTATTTTGGAATAGTAGATTGATGAAGAGTGTGTGATTGAAAAAGAAGGAAAAGTTATTGATGTGATGGAAAATATTATTTTATTGAAAAATGTGTGGTTGAAAATGAGTAGAAGAATGAGAATGAAAATTTTAATGTGTGTCAAATAGGGGGTTAAACACTTTTACACTTGACACAGATCCATTATACAATTGTCCAGTTTGAGTGTCTAAGAGTGTGTTTGAGCCACATTATTTTGGAAGAATGTATTTTGGAATAGTAGATTGATGAAGAATGTGTGATTGAAAAAGAAGGAAAAGTTATTGATGTGATGGAAAATATTATTTTATTGAAAAATGTGTGGTTGAAAATGAAAAGAAGAATGAGAATGAAAATTTTAATGTGTGTCAAATAGGGGGCTTAGCAAAAAGAATGAACCCAATTTTATTACAAATAAGTTAGCTGAAACGCTCAATATTGCTAGAACCCAAGCATATACCTCAATAAAATTAATAAAATCAAAAACTATAAGGACCATAACTCCATAAAAAAATTAACAATAATAAATGGCTCCATAACATAGTTTTTTTTTTAATAATTCTAAAAGTAATTGAGTCCGTAAAAGGGCGGTGGTTCTAAACATGGGATCTTGAGACATCAAACGTTGAGGTAAAGAAAAAACATGGCCAATCGTTGGCGTCGATGCAAATGAGTTTAAGTACAAAATAAATTTTTTTGATAAAAATCACAAATCTATGTCTTTGAAAAAGAATGAGTTTTGAGGTTAGAGAGAAGTTGGAGGCAAAATTTTGAAGGAAAAACTCATACAAATAGGGGAAAACAAAAAAAATAAAATAAAATAAAATTTTTGGGGACTATTGACCCCACATCACTTAGTCCCGTTTGGTCTCTATTATTTCCCCATTAAATTATAATTTTTTTCTTTTTTTTTTATCAATCACATATTTTTAATAAAATAATATTATACGTAAACCCATAAATTTTTTTTCTTTTTCAACTACAAATTTTTCAAGAAATTATTATTTCTTTCATTAGAATGTGAAATTATTGGGGCCAAACGGGCACTTAGAGAAGTTGTTTTATGGATTTCTTCACCAATACTCATTGTGTGTTGTTCTCCAAACCCTGCACAACAAAAGAGGGTAAACTATTTCAGGGATGTGGTCCTTAATGAATTTGAAATTCCATGTAAAATTGTTTCAAAAGTTACCAGAGGAATTGGAAGAACTAGTTAATGAGGGAAATCCTTGAAAAATTAAAAACACAAGTACAAAACCATTAATTCAGACCAAGAAATAAGAGGACACGGTTTACGTGAAGCTGAAAATGATTTTTTAACTTCAGAATATGAACCTAATCAAGAACAAACAGAAAATTTGGAACAAGAACATGAAGTAGAGTAAGAATTAGAACCTGAAATTCTAGAATTAGAAGAATAATAAATAGTGCAACCTGACTTGGAAAATTATCAGTTGGCTAGGAATAGATCTAGAAGGGAAATCCAACCCCTAGGTACAATTCTACAAATTTAGTGGACTTTATTTTACATTCAGGTGAGGTAATTAAGCAACTGGGAACCATAACCTAGGTGAAGTAATAAGTGGGAAACAACAACCTATAAGGAAGAAATGAGTTGTAAGCAATTAGAAAATTGGCAAGTGTTATGATAAAAATGGGAAATTTATGTGAGGAACCCATGAGATACAAAGCTAGGCTAGTTGCAATGGGCTTTAAAAAGAGTGATAATGAGAAGTTGTCACCTATAATCAAATATAAAACAATTAGATTGATCTCAATCTTAGTTGTCAAATTCAATTGGGAATTGGAAACATTTGATGATGTCAAAACAACATTTCTTATGTACGAAGATACAAAGACATTGTCAAATTCAATGCGTGTTGCTGTAAATCTTTTTGCAATGTTCATTGCACGTTGCCGTTAACTAGTTTTAGCAATAGGCAATGCGTGTTGCCATTGGATGTTTTAGCAACGCGCATTTGAACGTTGTTGTAAATCTCTTTTGCAACGTTCATTGCACGTTATCGTTAACTACTTTTAGCAATAGGCAATGAGCGTTGCCATTGTTTTTTTTATTTTTTTTTATAGCAACGGGCATTTGAATATTGTAAAAAGTCGGACTTTTGCAACATTTCGTGAATGTTGCGAAAAGTCTTCTCTCTTTTTTCCCATGGGCTCAAATTATAGAAACTCAAAATAACCCAAACTTTCATGCCTCTCTCCGTTCTTTATCTCCAACAAAATGTTTTCTCAATCCTAACATGATGCCACGTCGCCTCCCTGCCATCCGTGCGACTGCTTCTCCGCCATTGGAGAGTCGCACCTTCGGCCAGCCACCAACTCCCAGCCAAACCGCTTGACTGTTCGCTAGGCCACCATGAGGTTGGTTTTCTTTGATGAAAAAACTCCTTATTCACAGCACAGTTGCACCTCCGGCCACCCACCAAAATTTTTTCCATTCTTGTGTTTGTTTTGTGCGTTTCTCTATGCTAATCAGAGCAATTGACGAGAATAGAGTAAGAACCTTGCGAAGCACACCCCTTCGAAGCTCGAGCATCCGTCGCCGTTTTCAAAATACCGTCGCTGCAAGGCTGGACCTGAAGAAAACCTCTCAATTTCTCCTCACACCGCACTAATTTGGGTATCAAGTATGTATAACACTATAGGAAACGCATAAAATTGTCACTTTTGGGTGAAAAATCAGGGAAAAAATTGATTTATTGTGTGAAGACGGAAGGGGGGAAATAGATTTTTTTTTGTCAGTATGCGTATGATTTACATTACAAGGTTGAATGCTGTTTTTTGTTTAGCTTTTGTTGAGATTAGACGAAAGGGTGATGTTTGCTTTTGTTGAGCTTGGTATACATGTTATGATTTTTCATTATATTTGTGAGGTATTCTTGTTCTGGATTGGAGGTTTTGGGAGAATGGCTATGACACAACCATTGTCACTCATCAATGGTTGATTGTAGTCCTTTTTTAATGAGCTTAAACGTTTAAACCTTTGTAGTGACTGGTGAGGAAGTTATTTGTGGGAAGAGTTTTGAACCATTAGAAAAATTCTGAACGCATAGGGATTATAATGTAGATATGCCCTTGACTTGACCTTGTTAATGCTGGATAATTGTGTTTTCTCTTTAATTTGATGTGAACTATATATAAATGATAGGTAATCACAAGGGTGGCTTATCAGTTGGCAAAGCAATAGCGTCTGGGTGCCAAGCAGCTGATCTAGTAATTTCGTATCTGAACTCAGCTTCAAATGATAAGGAAAACTTTAATTGAAGATAATAAAGTCAGATAAAAAGGTATTATTCCTTGCTAATTATAATGCCATTTTGATTTCTTACTTTCATTTTCATCTTCTTAATTTTTTTTATTGATAGCGCTTCTTCATCACCTCTTTCAAGTTTGTCTGTTTATTCCTGGCATCCATTTGACTCTTTGTTGACAATAGGAACATATCCCATTTATTCAACTTTTTCATTGAAGTTTCACGTTTAACCTATCCATTTAATGAAGTGGAATAGAAGATACAGGGTTAAAGGTTTTAAACTTTCTAAATTTAAAGAAATGAATAATGATGTTTATGAGAATTGGGTATTAACTAATATTTTCCGCTCTTTACTCAATAAATAATAGGCTGGCAATTTTCTTCAACAAACTAATGACTTTGTTGGTTTGCTTATTTATAATGTTATTGATACCACATCACTTTTAGATTGTATTAGCATCCATGGCAAGTTTAGAAGCTGGATTTTCTCATGATATATTTGTTGAATGGGCTGTTGATACGAAGAACCTTGTACATTTTACTGAGAGAGGCCAGGTTTGTTTTGATTCTAATTTGTGGATCCAATACAGCAATTTAATTGCATTAAGTTACAACTTTTCTCAGCACTCTTGAGTATTGTTTAAAAGTTTACAGGCATTCGATGGTTTCTCTATCAATTTGTATTACTTAGTTATTCTTCTTTTTTCAATTATTTTTGAAAGATTATTTGTTTCAAACTTTTGAAGTTAAAGAAGTTAATGATTTTTTTCCACCTACATAAATCACTTTCACATTTTTGCTTATCAAAATAAAATTAAGAAAAAGAGAAAGAAAAGAAGTAGGTCTAGTAATTAATTTCTGGCTCTGTTATTAATATATGTTTGATGTGTATCTGGAACTTCTTCACTTTGTAGTTTGCTACACTGGCACAAATGCTTCAATCAGATCCTCCTCCTAGAGATGTTAAAGTTACCATATCAAAGAGAATTCCCTTGGTTGGAGAGGTGTTAGCTGCTTATGAAGAAGAACAAAATCGAAAAAGAGAGAAAGCTCTTAAAGCTACTATGGTGAAAGAGGAGGAATCCAGAGCATCTCTTGGTGTAAGATGGAAGATACTAGCATAGGAATATTGATATCAAAGTCATTGAAGTTAATTTTGTACTAAAATTGACTTATTTGGTGAAGCTATTGAATTTTATTTTATTGATGTGTTCTAGTTCATTTTTGTGTGGATTTAAAAACTCGCAATGGAATTATTATCAATTGTATTGGTTAATTTGTGTAAATTATTGTGTGTGTACCTATGCGACGGTTAAACAACATTATTAAAAAAAAAAAAGGCTTTCACAATATTCAAAAAACGTTGTAAAACATTTTTTTAGCAACGGTCAACGAACGTTGCGAAAAACTCTTTCGCAACGATCAAAGAATGTTACAAGGGGTTTGTAGCAAAGGTAAATGAACGTTCCGAAAAACTCTTTCGCAACAGTTAGCGAACGTTGCGAAAGGTTTATTAGCAACGGTAAACAAACGTTACGAAAAACTCTTTCGCAACAGTCTGCGAAAAACTCTTTCTCAACGGTCTTTGAACGTTGTCGTACCCTTATGCTCTACGGCAACATCAAAGCATGCAACATATGCCTGAACGCTGCAAAAGGCTTTTGGAAACGTTTTTCGATCGGTTGTTAAAGACAGTTTTTGGTGTAGTGTTAGTTAAAAGTAAAGTATCGTCCAACAAGGAATAGATTTTAAGTTGAATTATATTCATTCGAAATCAAACTCAAATGTAATCGGAACACATTAAAGTTGCGATGTTCATATTTGTTAATTACTAATGTTTATCCTAATTATTATCTAAATGCACCTAAAGAATGTATGAGAAGAGTGTGTTGAGATTTAAACTCCACCTAATATTCTCATTTCCCAAATCTCGACTTATATTCTCTAGTATAGGGGAGGGAGTTTTCTTTGGGGCATGAGAAATGGAATAGAGAAAGCCCTACAAGTTTTGAATTCGCCGTTGGGGAATTCACATGAAAGGGAATGAGTTCTCAACAAAAAAGTGGTATTTGAACCAAACGTAAAAGTCGTTTTTCTAGAACCAGGAGTCTTTGAGCCTACTGCGTATGATTAGCCAGCCTTGCAGCAACAAAAGGATTAGACGTCCCCCATGCTACGATTCCCTACGGTCCAAACCCAATACTACATTAGGTTATGTGTATAATTGACAATCGACAATCCAAATTTATTCCATATCTCTCCCGGAGCCAAACATATCCTTAAGACGACTTGATATATCCTAAATTTGAATTCATATGCAAAATAATACATTCAATTGTGTGATTATCTATTTGATTTTATAAGTCATAAACCATTATTCCTACGTTTATTGAACCTTACTTTGATTGCATTGTTCTAGACCTACTTCAAATCCCCCCCTAAATAAAATAAGCAATATATTATCTAAATAGTGATCAAGTATTCAAATAATCTACAAGCATGCAATACCAGTGAAGAACACAAATCGATTTAAGAAATAATCTTTGAATTAAAACGGTAAAATAATGATTTTTTTGTCTCCCCAACACTATCAAATTTAGCATAGCATCTCTACCGTGAAAGTACGACAATGATATGGCAATATATAATTGCATGAAGGTTACATAAAATCAATTTCTTGCTTTAAATCTTCATTTCCAAGTCTCGAATCTTCAGTCTCTTGATGTTATTAGCATTGAATAACGAAGAATCCTCGAATTATGGGTCGAAAGTAGGTTCAGTTGTTGTCCAAATTTCTTTCCAAAACCTGGATAAAATAAAAAAGTAAACAAAATTCTGCTTAGATTTTTTACCATGCGATCGCATGGCATAACGCTAAGTGATCTCATGGCACAACTTAGTTGTGATATATTTTTGCAAACAATCCCTTGTGGTCACAGGGCTACCGCATGCCTTATTTTTTAAGTATGTACAATTTGGTCATTGATTTCTCTCTTCGGAAAATACTATGTCGTCATATTAATCATTCATCTTGAATAATCAAAATATGTAAATCAAGGCGAAAGTGTACTTGAATCAAACATGATTATCGAAATGGATGAATCCTACGATTTTAGTCTTTCAGATCAACACGTAGTTTTTTATTTCTCTCTGATGATGGGAGTCAGAACATAATGAACAATTCACGTATGATTCATGGACCATAACCGTATATTACTAATGGCCCATTAACCTAATTCGGCCAATCATAAAATTAGGAACACATGGTCTCTACACATAAAAGCCCACACTTTAATTAGATATTTCAAAACCTAAAATACGGAAACCTTATTAGATCACTTTAAACGAATTTAACCAAAAGTGATAACTTTTAATTTAATACACAATATTTTACATATAAGCCCACACGTTCGATTAAAAATCCTTAACGTTCTCTTCTTTGGTCAACTCATGTTCATTGTAATTCAATCCAAGACTTTGATATTCCAAATCGTGTTCAATTGGCCCTCATTCTCAGAATCAAGTACACAAATCACCATTTTTGGTCGATTTTCATTTTTTGTTTCTCCAAAAGCTCGTCCAACATCGAATTTTACCTAACAAGATAATATTTATATGAGACTAAGCAATCATATTTAGATTCCTATATTTTAGAGAATCACAAATGCTTTTAATATTTTTATATGTTACACAAAAATGTATAACATAATATGACGAGAAAAAGATAAATACTCAACCCAAGATAAATAATAATAATAATATAAGTTGACCAAGTCTCATGTAATTGACTTGTTTTGGACTTACTCGAATACTAGAACAATGAAAGGTCAAAATTTCAAAGGCGACAATAAATTCATCCTATCATTCTGGTTGCTTCCACCCGCCAGTCTGTAACATTGTGGGAGACAATAGTGTAGATTTGGTGAGTGGACCCACCTTGTTTTCCATACCGCTAACGCTGACTTTATAGCCATTTTACTCCTCGCCTAATTATGAGGATTCCTTAACATAGTAGTTTTTAACGTTTATTTTTCTTATAAAAAATTAATCCATTTCTTGTATATTATAAATTTATAATATCAAACCCAGAGTTATCGTCCTCGAATCAATCGTTGACTTGGATAAAATATCGGGTCATTGAATTATTAGATCAACTCATAGGTCAATGATTGAATCAATCCATTATTGAACCATAAAATTAAATTAAATAAGTTGTTCTCAAAAACATAGTTATCACATATCAGTCGGATCGGACTAGTTCAAACGCCCTCAAATCTGCCTGGGTTTGATTTCAATGTTGGACCTAGTCTTTGCTTTCGATAGCTCTAGATCTAGCATAATAGTCCAATACTAAACCCAACACGATAATATGGTTAGTTTAACAATTGTGCAAAGGAAGGAAAAAATCGAAGCACTCTAAAGATCCAAGTGTGTATGCATGAATATTCAGAAGTTTGAGCGTTCAAGACTCGACAATTAGTTGAAAAGAATATAAAATTTGATAAGATTTCAGAATTATTTTCAATTTTATTAAAAATCAAAGTCCAACCATAAAAATGAAAACATGTAAAGTGTTTAAATACAAAATTTGAGTCTGAGAAAAATGTTAGAATTTATGGCATATTTTTTTATAGGTGTAAATCGGAAAAGTCTCCAATTGATACGATAACTAGTTGTGACTCTTCAAATGCAAATAGCGTACATCAAAAAGTCTTGTTGTTTTAAATTGAGCGTGACTATTCAGAAATGCATATATGAAAAGTTATGTCATTTTGTGTGCAATCTACACTATTAAATATGAAAGGATGTGATTTAATGGTTCACATTAATTTGTTATATACCAAAAGAAGCAAAGATTTCGAGAAGACATTTGAAAATCTATAAATACTCATAATTCCATATTTTTTTACACCAAATCAATTCAACAAAAATTGATTTCTAAATTCTCTACTTTTTTCGAAATATTTTTTTTTTATTTTGCTAAAATTGAATTCCAATCGAATTATTTTCAGAAATAAATTTTTGTTCGAGAATCTTAGTTCGTGTAAAAAATATTGTCAAACACTTTGATTCATCCAATAAATATTCTGTGATATTAATTTTGGAAGAAGCGTTGTACCTTAAAAGATAAACGTCCATTTGATCTCTTAGCACCAGTGTAGGAGCGAAATCTGTTTTACACGATTATTTACAATCGCATACATAGTTAGAGCTCGCATTTACCATAAAAAAATCATACAATTATAACTCTACACAGAAACGAGTAGAAGAGAGAGAAGAAAAACACTGTACACGCACTGCGATCTGGAGAGTAACAGCAGAGAGAAAGAATTTTGTTTGGTGGGGGTGTAATGAAAAAATAAAGAAGCAAAGAGCGGAAGAAGAAGAAGAAGAGGAACGGCCCACCGACAGCGTACAGCGTATTTAATATACTCGTTTTTGCCTTTCTAATTTTAACTGTTTCATTTTTCAACTCATTAATTGATTTTGTTCGGTTTTTAATTTCCATGGTGGTTTTGGAACTCTGCGATAAAAGCTTGAATGTTTCGTGTTCATATATAAAGTCACCTCACTTCTGACTGATCTTTCTCAGCATCAAAAAACCCTTCTCCTTTTTGGCATTTTTTTATATTTATTTTGATCAGATGTTTTAGTGGTATTTTTTTCCTTTCTCTTTTATGATTTTTAGAGATTAATGCCGTTATATTTCCTTTCAGTTTCAAGTTAATATGATGTTTGGTTTCGTTTTTGATAGAAAAGGGTTCAAGTGAAGAGAAGATAAGCAAATCCTAATCTCAACAGTTTCATCATTTAGCAAAGCTTCGAAGGGGAAAAAATGTATGGAGATTGCCAAGTGCTTTCATCAATGGGAGGGAATACTATTTCCTCTGATACCCTCTATTCGTCGTCGATCCAGAACCCGAACTTCAATTTCATGGCAAACATCAATCCTTTCAACATTTTTTCTCCCATTGTGGCCGTAAGTCACGTCCTTCATAGAGGATCTACCTCATCTAAATATTTAGATTTCATTTACGTGCAAAAGTTAGCATTTTGAGCCTTTTATTTGGAAGCAGAAAGAAGAAAATGGGTTGACAAAGAGCAAAGAGGAGATGGAAGGTGG